CGGGGCCCCCCGGGGGGCCCCTGGGGGCCCCACAGCAGCCCCTTTTCTGGGGCCCCAAGGGGCCCCTTTTGGGTCTCTTCTGCACGCAGGGCAGCTGTTTATACACCCGAAGTTGCAATTAAAGGGAATTAAATGCAGCAGCAGCACCTGAAGGCACTAGGGGCCCCCTGGGGTCACCTGGGGACCCCTGGGGGCCCCTGGGGGCCCCCAAAAGCCCCCTAAAAGACCCTTAAAGAGACCCCTGGGGCCCCCAAAAGACACCTAGAAAACAATTAAAGACACCTCCAGGGGGCCCCCAGAGACCCTCAAGGGCCTCATTGAGAACCCCATGGGGGCCCCCGGGGACCCCGAAGGGGCCCCTTAGGGGCCCCCAAAGGCTCCGAGGGCACCCAAAGCCATTTAGGGGGCCCCCAAAGGGCCCCAAGGCCGCTTAGGGGGCCCCTGGGGGCCCCGGAAAGGATAGAGGGCAAGGGGCCGCTACCTGAGAAAGACCTCTTGGGTCATTTTGGTGCTGCTGCAGCAGCAGCACAAGTTGCTGCACTGATGCATGCGTGAGAAACTGGGGCATGATCTCATCTGCCAGCAGCTGCAGCAGCATGTCCCTGCTGCTGCTGCTGCTGCTGCTGCTGCTGCAGATACGTGTTGTGGGCCCCTCCAAGAGATTGGGGGGCCCCTGGGGCCCCTCCAGTCCATTAGGGTCATGACTAGGGTGACGGTGGAGCTGATTGAGCAGCAGCAAAATGGTCCCGCTGTCGAGGCTGCAGCAGCAGCAGCAGCAGCAGCAGCAATAGCAGCACAAGCAGCAGCAGAACCATCACCATCGCAGCAAACTCTTAACAACGCAAAAGCAGCAGGCTGGGGGCCCCGCAGGAGCCCTATGGGGGGCCCCACCAGTACCCTGCATCCGTGGGGGGGCCCCCACTATCTAGGGGGCCCTAGGGGCCCCCTTAAAGTACCTAAAACCCCTGGGGGGCCCCCAAGAAACCCTCAGTGGCATTTGAAAGCCTTTAGGAGGCCCCTAAGAGCCCTTGGGGCCTCCAGGAGGTTTTATGGGGCCCCCTAGGGGCCCCCTTGGGGCCCCCCCGCCCTTGGAGGCCCCCCGCCAGGGGCCCCAGGGGCCCCCGGGGGCCCCAGAGGCCCCCAGGAGCCTATGTGGGGCCCCTAAAATCAAATAGGGGGCCCCCAAGCTGGCGCAAACTGAGGGGGGGACCCCCTGGGGTAGTGTTTGCATGCGCACCTGGTAGGGTCAAGTCTGGGGCTGCTGCTGAGGGCCGAAAGGTTCAAAAGGGGACAAAAGGGGGCAGAAGAGGGGCCCCAAGAAGGGGCCCTCGGGGGGCCCCCCGCTCCTGGCTGCGAGGCCGTTGGGGTCATCCCACTGCCACCCAGGGGGGGCCCC